AGGATAAGCTTACCATACAATACAGAAAACGTTACACATTAAGGCTCAAATCTTTTTCCAAGCCGTAGCAGTCTGAAAAGAGTCCCAAGTTTTAAAAACACAAAATCTTGACAATGAATACTACGCTGTCATTATCAGTGACAATGCAAACAACAAGAAGGTCTCCCCTAATCTCATGTATTTTGGCATCAAATATGTCATAAGCATAGAATGTAATTATGAAGTGCAATCCCTACAGGGTCGTAACGTCACAGAAGATAATACCTTCTAGAGAGTTTTCGAAATTGTTCAGTATGCAGATAAATATTTGTTTTACAATAGAAACATTTTTCTCCATAAATGTTCCCACATGTTGTCAACTTTAAATCTTTTGTCAACAAATAAAAAAACATCTTAATTTCCTTTACCACAACATTTTGTTTAAAACACCACTACATTAACAATAAGCATAGGAAAATGATAAATGTCAACATTTAAGATTGTGCTTTTACTCTTTATTTAATCAGATCTATTTCACATTGAAAATGTGATAACAAGCCACATTGAAAGTTACATCTTGCATTTTATGAAAAGTAAAGGTTTCGAATCATTTTATGACTTAAGTACACTAGAAAATAAATTAAAGATGTGCAACAACTGTATCAGTAATTAAAATGATATAACTTATGTTCAGGGTTGGGACGGCTACTTGCCAAAAACACAACCAGAAACTTAATGTGAGTATCAAGATATAAAAGTAATGTAACCTGATAACTTTCTTTTTCTTTTGGATTACCTCAATATCAAATGCAATGCAAATAAACACAGGAGAGAATAAATATTAATATGATTTTGTTTTACTTAAATGTATAATATAATACCATAAAGCAGATTCAGGCAGTAGGTGTATAGATTCACAATTAAAGTATTAGCCTACAGAACAGTACCGCTTCCAGAGAAGAGATACAATTTGATCATTTTACAACAAACACTATATGCTATTTTTAGGTTTTGAATAAGATTGTAATCCTGAGTTTCCCTATTATTAAAAAAAGTAAAACAAATCTGATTACATCTTTTCCTATTACACTTTCCTTTTTTTCTATACGATCTTGATTCGTGTTAGATGTAATCCATTACTTACTGCCTAAGCCAATAAAAGTCATAACTTTTGGAAAATGGTCTCAAGTTATAAGTTATGCCTTCAATCTCTTTCACGTGGAGAAGACATCACATTGGCCGAGGCGTTGCAACTTCCCTGAAGCGTCCTACATGAAAGAAAGATCACATGTTAAAAATGTGTGCACAAACTATTCAGTATGACCCGTCTTAGTTTAAAGCCCACTCACCACGACAAGGTGCAGGTCAGGAATGGGAACATATAAGACGGGACAAAAATGCAAAATAAACTGAAAAGCATGGACACAGGACATGGACAAACAAAAAAATAAAAATGAGACAAACACACAACAAAGTCTGCACACAATTCTAAAAACTAGTGCAGAAGGGTCAAGAAGAAAAAACAGGTTAAGGCAGTTGTCAAAGACTTGAAAGATAGAGCTGAGATAAATGTTCGATAAAAATGTAATGGGAACGTGAATTTGATGAACAATCAAAAAGAGGTAAACAATGAACAAAAGAACACTGATACATTCCAAAAGTATGTTTTTACAGTTATAAACTACCTATATCAGAAAATATATAATATCACATGCCAAAAGTTACTTAGCATTCGTCAAAACAGCAATCGAAGAAAGAAATATGTTTTTTATAAAAGTTTTACATTTTATAGATCTTTTTTTTCTTTCAGTAAACAGGATACTTAAGCTCCTTTTCTGAATATTCAAGGGCATCTGCCACACTGCTGCTAAATAGTTGGGCTGCAAGATTGACCTTCATTTTCTGATTTCTCCACTGGATGTGGGCCATTTTTAGTTTGTTGCCAAGACGCAAGCCCTCCTTCTCCTGCAGCTTGTGGAGCTCCTCGATGTACTTCCACATTATCTGCTGGCCATCTTCTCTTACCAGAACCCCAACTGTTGAGAAGACATTTCTAAGAAGCTTGAGCATATGACATGGATCCAGGATCACATAGATCTTTTGTGTGTGATCCTCAGGATGGAGAAAAAATGATCTCATGTCAAAAATGTCCAATTTGGCACCAAGCTCCCTTATCATGGCAAAGTTTTGGGAGGGTCCATCGCATGTCAAAGAGATAACCCTTACTCCAATTGCATGAAGCCTAACAAGGCTCTCTCGGATGAGGTTTGCTCTCTCGGTTCCAGTCATGCTGTTTATGAGGAAGTAAGCAATGGGGATCTTCCAAGACTCGTTGATTGCAACAACCATAAGGACCAATGCTTGGGTTGCAATCACATTTTCAATTTCTCCAGAGCCAATGTCAACATACCCATTAATTTGGTCCCCGCCAAACTCAGTTTGCTTATGGATGTACATTTCATTCATCATTAATGAGCAAACTGTGTCTTTCCCTGCTTCTTTCCTTTCAGCAACATGACTTTTAAAGCTGTGAATGCAGCAACAGTAAATCCAGGATCTGCCTAAATGCTACTGTACCATTTTCGAATGGTCTGAGGATGAGGCAAAGACAAGTGAAACTTCTCTCTGACATAGTCATAGGCCTTTGGAGAGTAGAAGTGCAATGTGATGGCAAATTGCTTCATGTTTTCAGAAAACACTGACTTCTTCTTTTTTTGTATTCTCTCAAAGACATCTCGGGGAACCTCATCAAGACCATCAAGAAGAGAGGCACAGTCAGTTGAAATAAGGAGTTTCTTCTGAAGTACTTTTATTACACCTGCCAAGGAAGAAACTCGTGCCGTCAGTCTCCTTGTCTGCTGGGCCTTCAACCTCAGTTTTTTGCGAGCTGCGCATAGCTTAACCTCAACGTGGAAATGTTTCCTTTTCAGTGTTTTTGGAGACTCAGAAATAATGTAGCAGTGATCACTCAGAGCGCTGCTAGCCAGCTGTGTTGTAATGGTGTAAGAGTGAACAGAGGCGGAGTCTGCTTGTTTTCCAATTTGTTTTGTTTGTTGGCTGCTTCTTCGGGGGGGGGGGGTGCGCAAAAAAAAAAAAAAAAGTTTTCATTTTGTATAATCATTTTGTATAATCATTTTGCGTAAAGATGGCACTCAAGGGCACACTAGTGGTGGTGTTCCTGGCGGGATTTGAACTCACAGCCTTCCGATCTTCAGCCCACCTCACTATCCATTAGATCAATCACTACCCTCTCAAATGGAAATATGTGTTTACATAAATGGTGACCACACTGTTTGAGACCCACTGAGAACTTAAAACTAAGTTAACTATCTAAACACTCAGAGAGTCCTTTACCTCACCTGAGCTGAGGTTATCCCGAGCTTGAATGACACACAGAGACCAATCAAGGGCTTTGATTTATGATCTCTATGACAGTGGCCATGTTGGCAGGCCACATCATGTAGACAGCCAGTCACCCTGTGTGAGACAGGCCACTTAACGAGGCGAGATCAGAGCAAGGGAGCGAGGGATCATTGTCCACAAGTTAATCGATCGCAGATGGCGTCGTGGTCACGGACGAATACAAAAAAAAAAATACAAAAAAAACTTATAAAAAAAAAAATACAAAAAAAAAATGGGTCGCGAAATATACTTGGGCGACCGTTAATATACCTGGGCGGCCCGCCCAAGTATAGTCTATGTGTGGGAAACCCTGAAGTAGTAAATCGGTCAGATTTGACCCGAAGACAACAGGAGGGTTAATGCCATATTCACTTAGTAACGCATGAACAACTTTTACAAATATTTCTATATAGTTTGTGTTGGTAAATGTCATCTAGGTTGCACATTTCCTGCTGAAATACATGCATACCAAGTCACTGCGTGGCACTTTGGTTTTGATAAAACAGTGTAGTTCCACTATATAAACGTTACATTCATAATCAAACGAGACAATCTGCAAGATAATTAGCTATTTGGTATTATTCTTAATGCTTGTCATTCACACGTTAATAAAATAAAAATAAGTACCGATACATAGCAGAATAATTGTGGCGGTGTTCAGCTTAATAAGCCTTGCTCAACATCATTTATTTGGCTAATACTACAGCGGGCTGCAGGCGAACCAAGTCCGCGTTACGATGCATTCCTTGATCTCCAGTTATAACGCCGGACTCCGCCGCTGGCCGAAGCTAACGGAGCCCCAGGGTGCTAGCTACGGCCGCCGGGACGCGCTAGCGAGCTAGCACCCTGCAGCCCCGTTAGCTTCGGCGGCGTGGACTCCGGCGGCCCACCCCTTTTAACATTTGCTCCCGTTTAGCATTATGGGCGTCATAGCCATATAGTATAAAAGTCTTACCCAAGGCTGAATCATAAACTAAACTGTATATATGTATAAAGGGTTACGTCCTTAGCTGGCTAATAAGCTACATAACAGGCTAAGCTAACAAGCACACAAACACCTGCTAACGGGGTTAACATGTATAATATTATCATTTTACTCACCGAAAAAAGCTGAAAGTAGACTTCTTGGAAGATCTGTTAGTACATTCAAGCGCACAGCACGACATTTTAATTATCTGGACTGGTATTTGTAACAATATTCCCTAACAGGCACGATCACCACGAACACAGCTAAAGGATCAAGTACAGTAACTACAACTAACTAACGTTGTAGCCTCTATGGTTGTAGCCTAGCAGATTGGACAAGTTGCTGTTAGCTGACAGTGAGGCACGTATCTGTCAATCAAAGTGACCACGCCCTAATTTATGCACAAACTTTAAGACCAAATATAAAGGGTCGCGTTAGAAAACAATTCACTCACAGATCCATAATCATGAAGGTGGAATCTAACTATATCGATAATAAAATGTATGGAGCCAGGGGTAGAAACATGTTTTTTTCTGCTGTAAAATCGGGCATTTAACATGGGGGTCTATGGAAATTGCTCCTTTCTGCAGCCATCGCCTATCGGCCAATATATGAACTGCAGTGTGTGGCACTTCCGTATTGGCTTCCCGGCTCTACCCCACAGTTTGCCGCTTGGTGTAAACCACCTGGTGGTATTAATAAACCTGTTTCTGATTCTGATTTATTGATTGTCATCAATAAAGTATATCCTCTCGTGTTTAACCCTATGGTTTAACCTTATCTGTCTGACAGGTGGCGCTGTTGTTCCGCAGATGTTAGCGGTGCTGCGTGTGGAAGAAGCCGCCTGTTGGTGCTGTTTACTGGGCATGAGCTCAGAGAAATGGGGCCGTCTTCCTCTCTGACCCGTCGATGAAAAAATAAAAAACCAGGGGATGCACAGCGGCACAGAGGAAACACGGCTTCACAGGCGAAAAACCAGGAATGCTGATGCTGCTAAACATGGGGAGTCGCCTCCTTTATGGAATAAACCGAGTGTCCGCTGATGTGTGTATGCAGTGAGTTTTTTACAAACAGAAGATTTGGACTTTTTATTTAATTTTTTACACACATCTGCAACGATGCGGGCTGCGGAGTGGAGACGAGGCGCTGCGATTGTGCTCTGCATTTTGGGATACCTTGTCTCCAGAGCTGCCGCTAAAACATTTCCGGAGGACCCCGCCACAGAAGGTGAACAGTGTTTTAAACATCTTGTACTTAATAATAAACTAGGGAGCTCATGTTTTTAAGTGGCTAATGCTGCCGCTAGCCAGCTCGGATGCTGATGTGACCTAAACTTAGCTAGCATTAGCAAGTTAGCTTGTGCTAGAAAGACAGCCTGAAAACTTATCTGAAATGTTTTTTATCCAACTTGGTTGGTGTCCTGGATAACATGAAAATCAATCTGCTGTAGTCATAATTGTGTAAAAATAATTTTAAGTGACTAATGACTAAATATAAGTCCTTATATTGTCCACAATACTCCAGCAAAGGAGTCCAGCTGCTGTGATTTGTCATTTTTAGCTTTTTGGAAAACTGTCTTCGTAAGTCTATCTGGGTAGGGGAACTATCTTTGACCACTTTACCAATTAGTATGAAAGGAGCAGTGGTCTAAAAAGTACTCAGATATTTTACTTAAGTAAAAGTAAAAATGATACAGTGTGAAAGTGAAGTAAAAGTCCTGCAACCAACATCTTACTTCAGTAAAAGTACAACAGTATTGTCATCAAAAAATCATAAAACTACTTATTGTGCTAAATGTCCCATTTTAAAAATCATATTCAATTATCGGATTATTGTTTTGAATGCTTTTAAAGGTGTAGCTACTATTAATTACTTAACATACTGCTGCTGGATATCTTAACCTATAATTATATAGCTTATTTATATATTACATATATTCTGTCTTAGCTAATTATCTGCTCAGTCTCTATACTTAGCATTTAAGCTAGATAGTTATTTTCTTGACTAATCATGTAATTTTTGTCTGTAAAAAAAGTAAAAGATTTCCCTTTTCCCAGAGCCCTATAGTTGATATTCAGATTCATTTTGTGTCAAAGTAGTATTCTTAAATTCAAAGCTAGTCAGTTCAATAACATATACACAAAGTAATGTGTGGCTTTTTTGGTTTAAAAAGAAGCAGTAATTAAAAGGCGTGTAGATCAATAGTTTGATCAATTACAAACTATTCACTTTAGTTACTTGTCAGATAAGATCAAATGTATTGATATCACACTTGATATTATTGAGTGGTATACACAGTAGAAGTAGAAGAACGTGCACATAAGTGACTTTTAAAAACTACAATACATAAAACATTATTGGCATTTCCTATAAACAAAATGAAGCTTAAAAAACTAAAACCCGAGAGCTGAAGCAATTAGTAGATTATCTGAAAGTAATCAACAATATTTATAATTGATTAATCTTTGAATAAACAATAAAGCAAATCTTTCAAACAACTTTTTTTTGCTTTTCCAATGTGGGGAGTTGCTATTTGTCTTTGCCTAATGTGAATAATTATTGATTTAGATATTAAGAATTCAATTCACAATAGCACCTACTGGAATACAATAAGCTGGTAAAGTTGTGTGTATCCAGGGTCTGTCCTGTCACTTCAACTGTAAGCACATTCATCAAAGTGGATTATGAATCACAATTATCTGTTAATCTTATTCTGTAATTTACTTAAGAAGCTTTCCTGTCATAATAACTACTAAAGTGGAGCTGCATCTGTTTGATCCGTCACTTTTATCTCTTTCTTGTACAAGCACGCACACATTGCACACATTGTATTTGTTTTGCTTACACTTGTGGCTGGCCTACATTCAGTCCTCTCTCTACAACTATGTATGAAATTAAACACTCAGTAACTAATGCTGTAGATCAGTCAGAGGTTTAAAAAAACAAAACAAGCTCTGATTTCCAACAAAAGGATGTTGTTAGTTTCTGATATTTGATCATTTTAGATAAGTTTAGACGTTTTTGAAGTAGTTCTGCTTTTAATGGTTGTCATTCTGTACTTTATGTGTCCTGAAAATTGGCTAATTTCACAGCCATAAGCTCCGATAGAGAACAATGTGTAGTCTGTCCCGGGCCTCCCTCTTCGCTATGTTTTTCTCTTTCTTGCTCCCTCTCTCTGGTGTTCACTTTGCCTCAGATTGACCTTCAGTTGTCCCGGGGGAGGTTATGTTCAGTTCGATACTGAGGACTTCTTCTGCTCTGTCCAGCAGACAGCATGGATGAGTGGAGCCAGACAGACAATCTTCCCGCAGATATAGATCTCACTCGCATTACTGCCGCCCATAATAGGCATGGCATTGCATCTCCAGCAGACAAACATTTGCTGAAGCTGGACAAGGTTTGCCAGGAAGTAGATCAATCCGATCATATTGTCACCAGCTTGCCAAGCTTGATTTTAATCACAAGATGCTGGTTTAAGGGCTAACAGCAGATCCAGATGGTGAGGATACATCAGGTCATGAGAAAGCATAGTATTTAGGGACAACAACAACAACAACCTTGTGAGCTCAAGAGCAGAACCATTAACCGTGCAATATGTAGACGGGAATATTTACCCTCGTAAGATGAAGAGAGTGCATCTGGTCTCCTGTCTGAGACGCGGTGATGTAACCTATGTCTTCGTCCCCTGCTGAGCTAATGGGATCAACCTTTGCCATCTAATCTCACTTGTAATCCAGATGAGGGAAAATAGCAGGCTGAAAACCTATTGATGGCCCTTTTGTTTATTTATTATGCCTAAGAGCATAACTTCAACAGATTGGAGTGTGTTCGGTTGTGTCTGTGTTTTACCATGTTTTGATATTTTGTCGCTGTCAATGATTCACACGTTATCCTTCCTTTAACATTTTATAAGGCTTTCTCTACTTTAAACCATAGCTCACCACACTGAAAATCAGATGGTGAATACATTTCTTCAGCTCTTGTTGAGGTTGAACAAGTTTAACATCCATAAACACAATCAACTGGTGTTGGAACTTGAAGTTAAAGTGACCAAATTAACTTTTACCTCTTCATTATTAAAACAACTTGCCGATGTTTTGAGAGACCTCGCTTATTGTCACATGATTTCTGTTCCCTCTCACACTCAACCATGTGCTTCTGCATGAGATGATACAAAAGGTTTTCTGTCACCTCTTCGCCCACTGATTATATTTGACTGTGGTTTATTTAAGATTTGATCTTCTAACCAAACCAATTCCACGTTATTGAGTATTTTAAATGGATCCATTAAATCATTGCAAAAGTAGATTCATATTGAGATGAAGTTACTAGAAGAGCACCAGTCAACCTGCTGTGTACAAAAAAACATGAAAGAAATTCTTTTTTTTATGTATTAGAATTGAGGAAGATTATTGTCTCTGTTTAGATCAGTGGCAAGTTTCAGTGTATTCAGTAGAAGCTTGATTAACTTTTAAGTCATTCACATTTTGGTTTGTTTGCTCATTCTAAACAAAATATATGTCTTTATGTTATCATTGACATCACTTTGAGCCCCAGTTCCTTGTGATTTCTAACCATTTCTAATGAGATGCAATTGTGTTGTACTTGGTGTTGTGTACAAGCAAGCTCTTCACTCAGACTCATGTACAGAAAGCATCTGCTCCCCCCCCTCTCTCTTCTTGAAAGAGCACCAAACCCCCTTACACACCCAATGGATGCCAACCATACCATACATTTCCAGTTTATCATGGTGGTGTAGAAATGCTTCGCCTCCCTGTAACTTCTGATGAACACCCATTCATTCAAGCTGTAGAAGGCTGAAAAACATACACACACTCAGTCTGTCCTCTCCGTTTTCTCCTCTCGGGTTCATCTCTGTCTACTCGGGCACAAACACACACAACCACCCCGCTGCTTTGGCTGCTGCTGCCTGGGATAATTGGTTTGAGATCGCAGCGTTGGTCAGGCAAAACTCTGTTTGATGCCTTTGTACTCCATATGGTACTCAACACACTCGGATGAGGTCTCAATAAAGCATTAAGCCGTTGCAAAAGTGCTGGTTTAGCTACAAAATCGGGGTCTTCTGTCAGTCTTCAGGCCGAACATCTTCACTCCTGTGTGTCGTAGCAGAGAAGAGACTCCTAGCTTGTTTAACAATGATGTCACCACAGTAGTGATTTATTGGATAAGGAATGGGAGGGGGACTGTTGCATTTGCCAATCTGGAGTCTCCCAGGGGAGTTTCTTTTTAAAGTGAGCACAGCTGGTACCCCTAACCACATATCACTGGGAGTGGGAGAGGAAGTGAGGTCATGATCTCTCCAATACACACATGAAATCTTAATGCAATGGGTAGTGTCTGACTGTCAGACATCTTTTTGTTTTATTGTCCTCTAGTTGTGACACTGCAAATGTAATAACAGGGAGGAATGAAGTGAGGGGTCAGAAAGTAGCCACAGAGCACATCTTCACACCAAGCCTCTCTGGGTAATGATGTGTATGGTTTGGAAATGACTCGTTGCTCTGCCAAACCTCCTCACTTCCATCCATGCAAAGGTGTTATTTGGGGCAGCGCTCTGTTTTTAGGTGGAGCTAAGCTGCACTCGGGGTGAACCCTCACCAGATATTGTAAGAGAGGGTTCTTCACTGACCGCAGGATCCCTGAGTGGGGGGAGGGGGATCAGTCTAGCCAGGGGTATGTATTTTGTTTAGTGTGTGTCGCGGAGGTTGGGTTCGCGAAAAGAAAGATGAAATTCAGTCGCATTGAAGATGGGGGAGGTGGGCATGTTTAGGTGAAGGAGGGAGAAACCCTTTCAGCCTTAATTGAAAGGTCACCATGGGTCAACCAGCAGCCAATGATCAAACAGGGCTGAGGCTGTCGTGTGTGTGTGAAGGCAGAGCGAGAGTAATGGTGTGTGTGGAGTTTTAAATGATAGTGTTTTTGTACCAAGTTTGTTTTTATCATACTTTTGGGACATAAAGCTGAAATGATCCTTGTTTGTTTTCCGCTTGTGGTATAATAAACATCACAATGTTTGACCTGCCTCTGCAGAGGAGTAAATGGATGTGTGTGTGCCTTTTTTTGCATTGGTATAAAGTAACTAGGTACTGTAGGCTCCTCTACAATGTTGAGATACTGAGATGTACTTTACTTAAATATTTAATTTAATGCCGCATAGTACTACTTGTACTCCACTACAAGAAGAACAAATGTTAGATTAGCTAAATGAATGAATGATGTACTTGAATTGGTTCGGTTGAGACTTTATGAAGGAATTCACAAGATACCCAGCAGTATATAGAGAAACATTTAAATGAGAACCACTTAAAACACATTTAAAGTGGTCTACACATGCATGCATCAATAATTTAGTTCTAACATTTATAACAACAACCACTGATACAAAAGTAACATCCATGCAACAGCATCTTCTGCAGTCACAAAACTCCTCCTCCTCTTTTGATATTTTTAGATGCATGAAATCGTCAGGCACCAGGGCAATAACTTTTTTCTTGTTTTGCTTAAATATAAAGAGCAGATAGGGGTTATGTGTTGAAGACACCTTGTGTGCATGTCTTACCTAGGGCAGAATTGTATTATTTCAAATGATATATTATACCGATACATTTCTCAATGAATCTATCAAATGTGTCTATAAAAAGAAAACAGTCGGACACAGGATTCGAAGAATTGAACTTGTTATTGTTGATGTCCCTCAATCTATAGACGCCTTTCATCGGTCAACAGGCAGTCTGTGTCCAGTCTTTTATTCCCCCATTAGAGATGGTTATTATAAATATACATATAGTTGTTTTTTTCCCTCTGGTTTAAGGCTTCTTTGAGAGAAGGAAATAGTCCATTGTTTTAGAGGGTAAGTGTCGTTGGCTAGAATCCAGGAAATGGTCAGAAGGCCGTCCCTTTGTGATTGGTTGGGATGTGGAACGCCATCAAAGGGCCTGGCACTGAAACAGACCCGGTTAGACAGATGACTGCAGTAATTATAACGCACACTTCTCTCTGCAGTCACACTAACACATCGATATACACACGGCTCAGTGACGCTCTTTTCGTTCGCAGAGGTGACTCTGAAGGTTCACTTGAGCGATGCCAGCACTCACCAGCCCCTCGGAGGAGCCGCCGTGCATCTCTTCGCCAACCACACTGCTGTAACCACGGAAACCTCGTCAACTGATGGCAACACCTACCTGCGCTTCCCCTACCGCCTTGGGACACCTCTGGTCGTCACCGCAACCAAACGGGGATATGTGCCAAACTCTGTGCCCTGGACTCCTTCTAGATTACCTGGTAGGTGTGTGTGTGTGTGTGTGTGTGTGTGGACAAATGCCGGGTGGATATTAGGACAGCCACATTAATGTAGGTTGGCTTGCAGGTTATGGATTTCATTGTGTGCTGCCAGCTAGCTCAAAGTGTGTATGTATGTTAGTGTGACATATAAATAGTGTGAGTGTGTGCCAGGTGTGAGAGCCAATGACGAGTGGAGTGCTCCATTACTAATTTATTACAATAGATGCCAAAACCCAGCAAGGGGGCAGCTTAAGCTTTCCTTTCACTAACACACACACTTACACACAATACCTCCCAAGAGGCGGCAGTAGTGCGTGTGTGTGTGTGTGTGTGTTGCATTGGGGAGGCGGACTGGATGGGGGCTAATATTATGAGCCAACAGAACGGCGGCCAATTGGATTATCACGCTTACCAGCTCCGAACAATGCAAAGTGAAAGGAAGGAAGGATGAGGAGAGAAGTGCAGTTTGCTGGGTCAAACTTGAGTCCTGCACAGCAGACAGGATGAAAGCAGGACCATTAAAAATGTATTAAGATGTTTTTATGACTTGTTTTGTGTCATAGCGATCAGTAAAGTGGCCTGGTAGATTGCTGCCGTTTTGCTTCTTATCTGATTGTAGATTTATTCTGTGTGTAAATGTGGAGTGTGGTTTTTATTTGTGTTTCAGTATTTTCCTCCATCAGCCTGGACCTGCTACCAGAAAGAGCTGCGACTCTGATGGTGTATGAGGATGTTGTAGAGATTGTTTCAGGCGTACAAGGTAAACGCTGTGTGTGTGTTATCTGTGTATTTAGCTAAACTTTTTTTAGCAGATTGGTATAAACATGTTTCCCACAGTGTCGACACAATTCCTCTCAAGGTCTTTTGGTCCAATGTCGTTTTTTTGCCAAATTAAATATGTTTGTGCATTCAAAGTTGTTTATCATTAAGACATTAATCACTTTAGTAAATGAGGTTTGGTACACCACTAGTTATATACTTGAGATTCAAGACAGGACGAACAAAATATCTAAATATATTCTTATGTTTTATGTTTGCATGCATCAAGCTGCTGACAATGCACCTACTGCAAGTCATTTTGGGTAAACAAAAAGAGTCAGATTTTCACCCATATTTAATAATGAAAATAAACTGATTCAATTCACAGCTTTGTTCTGTATAAAGAACTGAACATAATTAGCCCCGCCTATGCATTAAATGGCCTACTGTTGAATAAAAAAGACCCTCCTCTCTCCACTCAAGCACAGATATAAATCATGAGTCTGTCTTTGTTAGTCAGCCCCTTTGTTGAGGTGTGTGTAATTATATTAGATGAGGCTTTCTCACTCTGGCAAAATCAATATGGCCTCTTTGTCTGCTGGGGTCTTTTGTCTGTCTGTGACCGACAAGGGAGTAATTTTATATGTCAGCTTTTATGTCTAGCTAAAAGAAAAACTTCTCAGACACCATTAAACCTCCTGAGTTCACTCCGCACGTGCTTGAGTGGACTGTAGTTTCTGCCCTCTGTCCGACACACTTTGTTTGTCACAATGATGTGAACTTGTCTGCCCGGGGGAGTGATAAACCTTGGCATGTGGCGCGAGGACAGAGAATAAAAGAGGAGGAAGAGGATGATACAGTATGTGCTGGAAAGTGGAGCAGTTGGAGAGAATAAGGGAGAAAGGGGGATGGGCAGCGCAGTGTCCAACAGAAGGAGGAACAGATGAGGTGAGAGGAAAGTGGAGGGAAACAAAACAACAAGGAGAGTTGAGGAAGGGAAAACACAAAGAACAGAAACTGGGGTCATTTCCTTTCACAAAAACAGATCCTCAGAGGGAAATAACATTCACACCTGAACTTAAAGAACTCAGACAGAGTCAAACACATGAACGTTTAATATGATGGTTATACTGCAAAGCCAAAATGTATGTCGACTAGAAACAGATTGAGCCCTCATACAGCTGGATGTGTGCCTCACTGCTCAGGAATGTGCACTCGGTACAGTCAGACCACAATGACATCACCTTGCTGAGTCCGGCTACATGCAGTTTTCACTGTTTATTCCTCTTTATGTCAAATATGTTCAAGGAAGACAGAGTTTAGATAGGGAGAAGTGTAAAGGCAGCTATTAATTGCACAGCAGAATATCAGAAGGAAGCATCACGCTGCTGAAAGAACAGTCGAGCAAGGCATTATCTCTTCTGTATTGATCCACAGTTGCCTCCATTAAGCCTAATTTCATGGCCAAATTTATAAAAAGGCATTAGGCCAAGACAAGGAGTAGAAAATTGCCTTGTAAAACATCACTGTGCAAGATGGACTGATTCTGTCAGGAGAAAAACCTCCTGACTTTCTCCATTGAATTAAAATCAGAAACCCTCTATAAAGTTTTGTTGTTCTTTGTTTTATATAATTTATACTCACAATGATTCTGGCCTTTTGCATTTTGTTTAAAGTACATCTGCACATTTTATTTATTTCTCTAATGATTAGGTTTACCAATGTTCTAATCATTAATCCATATTGCATACTGACCTTTTTGGCACATATAATGCATATACTACACTGAGTGAGCTTTTGACCGATACAACCTTTGATTCTTAAGTGTAGATGGAGAACTTGCGGTTTATATTTCCTTGATGTACTTGTCTCCAATAGCAAATCACAAACAGCCTAACTGATGCACTTGGTGTTCAGTCAACATGTCCTTGTTTTCCTGACGCCTCTCTGTCTGTTGCTCCTCAAGGTTTCAGGCATCAGCCCAGTGTTCATTTCCAGCGCAGAGCTCTGAGTCTTCCCGCCGACACATCCTACGCAAACCTAACGGCTCTACTCACCGTGGCCTGCTCCCCCTCGCACATCCAGCACTTTCCCCACCTGCAGGTCCTCAGCGGCAACGGCACAGGTGAGCCTCGAACCGGTGGAGGGTAACGTACTCGACCGCAGAAATAGGACTAAAGAGAGTCAGGCATGGATGACAGAGGGGGGGTGGGGAGTGAAGAGGAGAAGCAGCGGTACATCCCAGAGGCTCTACCCTGGAGAGGCCTCTCTATCTGACCTCCTGAAACACAATAACCCCTGTGTGTCTAACACAAGCCTGCACGCTTTCAGGCATCCACGTCTTGGTGTGTGTTTGTTTGTTGTATGAATGTGTGTGTCCTTCAGCTTCAATACCCCTCAAAAGCTCCCCCCCTCCCCACTGCACGTACCTTGTCCCTCCAGGCATCACAAGCCATCTCTCTCCACCCTCAGTCTCTCAGCTTTTTCACTCTTCATCCTGTTTCCTTTCTTTCCTGTCTTTCCCTTGTTTTCTTTCCTGTCTGTCTTTCCCCTGACAACTCTCCTTTATCTATGCTTTTTCATGTTACTCCCCCCCACCCCCCTGCTGTCTGCTCCTTTCTCTGCCCCCCCCCTCCTGTGCACCTTACTCCCACTCACTTTCCCTTTACACTGCGTTTTTCTCTCTTACACTCTGCTGCTTCTCTCACAGGGAACGAGAAGAGGTTTGAGTTGACTCCTGTAGCAGCCATCTCTGTGCACTTATTGGCCAGCGACGGAGTGGAGCTGCAGGTGAATGAGCCAATCACGGTGTCCGTCCCCCTGCCGGCCGACAGTGGCCTGAAGGAAAATGATCACATCCCTGCTTGGAGATTCGACCCGCGTTTCGGTATGTCCCTACATGAACACAAAGCTTTTCTGACTTTCTAACTCAAAGGCGGAGTTTGTACAAAATCATGAAAACTTTCAAAATGCTTAATTAATGGTTATAGAAAGTTAAGAATGCATTAATTTAAACATAGTCTGCTGTTTCATAATGATAAGAAAACATATTTTAAAATGAAAAAAATTGTAAACTTAATCTTTTGCAATTTATAGTTATGTTTATGTGATTATAAAGGCTTAGATAGTCTTGGCATTTTTGGTTTTGTTATCTTGAAAATGCTCGTTATTTACTTTCAAAACCTTACATTTCTGTTCTACAGTGCTTACCTGAATGATTTATAAAAATGATTAGAACAGGAGCTTTAATACAATCCACGTGCAGCCACGTCGCAACTTTTAGTTTTGTGTGTCAGAGGGATAAATGAATGTATTCATGAGGTCATTAAAAAAAGTCTAACTTGTGGCACCACATTAATCTGCAAATCAAAACCCAAGTACTGCCACACACCACAAGATTGGACCGTGGATGTTTAATCTGCTGGAGCTCAGCTAAATCTTGACCTGAGCAAAACAAACATCAAACAGCTCTCCTACATCTGAGACCCTTCAAGCCACTCTGGACCCACTGATTTATTTCAGCAGTCTTAAATCTCTTGAGTCAGACGTCACGCTCTCTGATACGCCCTTTCTTCTTGTACACGCTGATCTGGAAGACAGTGATTAGATCATTGGTTGAGTCAGATGTGTCTGTAATACAAAACATCCTTCTCTGTGTAAATTAGGCTCACATTTCCAGATCAACTGTACATTGTGTTTGTGCTTGTCAGGACCTATTAAAATTCTTCTAGGGAAAGGATATATTGTACTTGATTAGTAGTGAGACGGAATAATAAAATCGATCATTTGTGAGTTTTTAAAACCCACGATAACTGAGTAATTTGGTCACTTTTGGGCAGCAGTGTCCCAACTCCGACACATCATCACTTTCTAACCTGGTATGGAAAAATTGTTAGTAAACAGTTGGCTATTTAAACATCCAACAGACGTAAGGCAACATTAGCATTCAGCAGTTGTGTTTGTGTCCGATATTCTCTCTCCTGTTGGCATTAACTAGTAAGGGAAATATCTTTTGAATTTGCCACTGCTAATTAGGGATGGGTATCGTTAAGGTTTTAACGGTACTACTACTTTTATCGATACCGCTTATCGATCCGGTCCTTTAACGGTACTCTTTAACGGTTCTTAAATTATTTATTTTTTTAAAAAGATAAATTAACCCTTGTGCCCTCCTCAGGCATTTTTGTACATTTTTCCTGACTTTTTTTTAAATTTGATGATCATTTCAGCTGTTACAGCTTTTGGCATGGATTTTTGCAAGAAGTCTTCTTTTGAGTCAACTTTTTTAAATCCATTGTCGTTTACTCTTACATGTTTTGTATACTCTCGTGATGCATTTTGCACCCTCTGGACCCCTTCGTGGCAAAAATGTACACGCTCATAATAACTGCTATTAAATCATACATCAATATTTTTTTCTACTTTTTTTTTTCATGAATCACATAAACAACTTCTAACTACTCAAAACTACCAAACATTCAATAATTGTCAGGATCTTAACCATTTAAATGCCTGTTTCATTATTTTAATTATTTCATTTGTCTTAAAAGAAAACACAAAAAATGATTTTTTTTCAATATAATAATTAGTAGAGGCATGGAACTTTGGTGGTTGTTAGAGTCTTGGATGAGTCAAAGATTAGCAGCAAAATTGATTTCACTGCATGATTATTTTTTACGTAGTGTGATATACTACCTCTGGACACCTTCGTGGCAAAAATGTACACGTCCCAAACAACAACTGCTATTAAATCATCATACATCAATATCTTTTTCTACTTTTTTTTTTTTCATGAATCACATAAACAACTTCTAACATACTCAAAACTACCAAACATTCAATAATTGTCAGGATGTTAACCCTTTAAATGCCTGTTTCATTATTTTAATTATTTCATTTATCTCAAAAATGTCTCATTGACTTCCATTCAGACCACATTTTTTGATCTCACTGCCATTGCAGTATAAAACCATGCATTTTGTAATGTCAGCATTTCGTTTAGAAGACAAGTAGTGATATTTGATATTTCTACTCTATTCCAACAGATTACACAATTTTCCCACTGTCTCCCAGTTATATTATGGAGCCGTGTGACTACCAGGGGGCCCCGAGAGTGGTGTGTGTGTGCGTGTGTGTGTATATGTGGGTGTGTGTGTGTGTGTCATTTTCAGCAGCAGGTCCTGCAGCATGTGACCTGGTGCTCTCTCAGGTGATAGAACAACAATTTTGTAGGCCTGTGCACAACCAGCACACACCTCTCCTCTGTGTGGGTGTGTGTGGTGTGTGTGTGTGTGGTGTGTGTGGTTGTGTGTGTGGTGTGTGTGTGTGTGTGTGTGTGTGTGTGTGTGTGTGTGTGTGTGTGTGTGTGTGTGTGTGTGTGTGTGTGTGTGTGTGTGTGTGGTGTGTGTGTGTGTGTGTGTGTGTGTGTAGGTGTGTGTGTGTGTGTGTGTGTGTGTAGTGTGTGTGTGTGTGTGTGTGTGTGTGTGTGTGTGTGTGTGTGTGGATCATTCCATGGGAAAAAAGGCCATCTTTTGAGGGATCTGTTTGATGTGTCTTTGAAGAGCTGCTTGATTACTCAAAAACAAAAAACAACTGTTAGTGTGTTTATGCACCTGGCTGCCAAAGATAAACTGCAGTTTGACCAAAGGGCTTATTTCTTTAGTGAGCAGAGAAGGAGAAAGACCTGGAGCAAAGAGAAGGAAACTCAAATGAAGAAGCATTTCAGTGCAGAGGAGACTTCAGAAATAATCTTGTAGCCTTCTTCTGCCAGCGAGCTGAAGGACTCATCTGAAAAAGACACAAGGTTCGAGGGGGGGTCTGGTTTTCCCCAGCTCCTGGGAGAACGACCTCCGTTCTTCTCTATCCCCTCACTGTGGACGGGAAGTGAATCCCTTTTTGGGGTGAGCACTAAAAGAGAGTTGCTAGAAGCATTATGCAGTTGCTCAATAGACTAAGGCGTTCCCTTCCAATCCACATGTGGATTCCGACTTCATGAACAGTAGGCCACTTCTCAATAAGAGCGATGCCTTTGTCCATCCAACACTTGTCATGTGATGATTCAAGCACTTTCCAATTATCCCTGAAAATATTTCTGAAAGGAACATTTTATTGGGCCAACAAATGTTGAACATCTGGATCATCTTTGCTCTTGTGACAGTTTATAGATCTCAAGTACTTAGAGTAGCCACATTCAAAGTTTATGAACACACACACACACACACACACACACACACACACACACACTTGAAGCCTACGCAGAGCCTGTAGCTGCGAGTATTTCCATAACAGAAGTCATCCCCGGACCCTCTCCGGGCTTCATCTCATGTTCCTTAGCAACCCACCAAATAAGTTACACAACAGAAAGGCCCAGCTCCTGATTGAGTTTCTTCACTGTGCGCTTAAGTGTGTGTTTGCGTGTGAATGTTCGTGTGTTGAACCAGGGATGAAAAAAACACAAAGAAAGATCTTTTGAAATCCGTCTGGTGCCTTTTTGGAGAGATACTCCAGGCTGATAAAAGCTCCTTCACAAAGAAGCTCAGTTTTGTTTACAAAGTGGGCACATGGACAACACACACACACAAACCTGTTTGTCTTGAATAACTGACAATGTCTCCTATTTTATATTGAGGGAGCGCAGGGCAAATGTATGTCATGTACAAACAGATCAAGTTCACTGGATTGTTTGTGTGTATTTGTCATTCATAAACAGACACTCTTTACCATGAGAGGATGCAAATCA